ACTGTTCTGGATGGGACGACATCTTCCACGCATTTCCTGATAAATCCGCAGACTGAGTCTGTGTATTCATCAATGTTCAAATCATGTTTGCAGCCTGATAAATGAACTGATTGGTCTCTATGGAGATCATTTCATAACGTCAGTATTTTATAACTCACTTAAATTGCACTAAAGCTTAAAGTTTGCATTATTAGGGGCGCGGCCTCTGTGGCTATGCCCTTCACCTCGTTCATGCAGCCTGTTTAAAGCAGCCGGCTGATGCGATTGGACCGTGTCACAGACCCTCTCAGACATGCTGCTTTTTCATCGTCTTTCTGCAGTAAATCAGGATTTTGTGCTGCAGACGTTTGTTTGTTCAGGTCTGAATCAGAGAAGAAGAAACGCTGCAGGTTTTTACTGTCTGCCTGAACCACAGAAGAAGAAGAGAAATGAGACATGAGGGGGAGGAGGGCAGCACCTTGCCTCGGGGCGCTTTTGCTGTCCTCCATCTTAACCTCGATGCGTACACAGCAGCATTCACTGATGTCTTCCTTCCAGTTTAAAAGCTCGCTTTTACTTTTATTTTTACATGGCAGCGTTTTTCAGGTTAGGGTTAGACTTTTCAGTGTGTGTGTGCTTGTGTGTGTGTGTGTGTGTGCCTGTGTGCAATCGGACAAATGCATTTTCTTTATTCAGACTCAGAATAGAAAGAGAGAAAATACAGACGATGGACGGATGCGAGGATGCTTTAGTTGTTTAAAGATGCTTTTCCTCTGCAGTGGTTACACAACACACACACAAACAGAACAAAGTGAAGCCCCAGCATCGCTTCTCATTTAAGCTCCTCTAACAAAACTCGTCTCACTTTCAGAAGAACTGCAGAAGAATCAAAGAGTTGAATGGTCTTTGAGCTGAAATGTCACTCACAAGCTTTTAAATTTGACCAAATATTCAAAAAAATGTCTCAGGGGTTAGTAGTGATGCTCTGAGTGTGAGAGGAGTAACGATGGAGCAGCAAGCGACGTTTAATGACTCGTAAATTTAAAAAGCATCACTCACAGGTTTACAGCACAGCTTCCACTTTAGGTACGGCTCATTAAAGGAGCTCCATTCAGACCACCTTAAGAGCCTGCTGATCTAACAAATGCAAAGCCTTCATTCCACCTTAAAAGACAAATGGCACATTGGAAACTCTCACTTATTCCACTTTAACTGAGAAGCATCTGCTCATGCTGCCTTAACACATGGCTTCACAGAGAAAACTCTTACCACCTTAAAAGAAAAAAAATGTGTTCACACAGCAGGAATGTAAGTTACTCCATACCGCCTTAAACCCAAACACCATCTGTCTCACCTTAATGGAGATAATACAGCTATAAAATCTCTCTCATATCACCTTAAGTGCCAAAAAACAACCTTGTTCATACCACCTTAATAGATAATAAAAAAAGAAAAATCAGAGTTTGAGGGAAGAAAACTTTATTGAAACTTCAGCTTTTTTTTGTGTCGGCAGGAAGTTGGCGAAGAAGAGGAAGGAAACTCTGAGCTCCAGACAGGAAATGACCCTGATGGTGAACAACTCCCAGCACACCACCATGGTGGACACGCATGTGCACACGCTGAACGGACGCAGTGAGTACATGCACGCGACGCACACAAATGCTATCCCTAATCCTATCTCTGACAAGCGGGTGAGACAAAGACTCGGTGACCGAGTCGCTCACCCACAGGTTGCACAGACGACGCAGACTGATCTGCAAACGCTCCCCGAGTCGAGACGTTTTCTTTCAAAGAAAGATCATTTCGCTGATAATTCATGACGTGATAATCCCGTATCTAAACGATAGCAGTGAGTCGAGGGAGCTCAGGCTGTGGTGTGGTCGGTCATTCCATGACTTCGTGTTCTGACTTGGTTTCCACGGCAACAGTGAAATCCTATGTTTTTGCTGCATGGCTTAGGACGCCGACCAACCTGAAAGAAGACAAGCTCAAACCCAAGCAGGTGGCGTCCTCGTCCTTCCTGCCGTGAGCTGAAGGAGGCGATGTTTTATCACAGCGTAGCGGCCGTCAGAGGGCAAGGCGGCACCCTTCCCCCCAGGCTCCTCTGCTCGCCGTCTTCCTCTTTATTCTGGAGCACGGCGTGCAGCTGCGAGCACCTCCCTGGAGGAGACGATTTAAATTAACCACAGACATCAAACACCACAGGCCCTGAAACCATGTCAGCTTACAGGAGCCTCTGATTTAATTTAACCATGAGAGTCTCAGGCGTGTAGCTGCGGCCGAAAACAAGAAGATCAGTCAAACGTCATCTTTGGATCAGTCAGTAGACGACAACAAGGGAAGAGCTGCTCACAACAAACCAGGCTAACAGACCTCTCCTCCAGCATCATTCTGGTTATTAAGTAAAGCTAAAACTACAAATCAGTGTAACTGAAATAAAAAGTTATGCTCTTTATTGATCTGCTCAAATCTTCCAGACCAAAGATCCAGTGAAGGTTTTGGTCCATCTGTGTGCTCAGACTGAGACGGCTGAAAGTCTGTGGCTTTACGACCACAAACAGAAGACTGTCTGAAACTGAAATCATCTAATACAATCAGAAAAGATTCAAGTGACAATAAAAAATTATAAAAGAAGTGCTGCAAATCTCTAGTAACTCTGACTTTTATTAAAATAGAAACCCAGTGTTCATTAAACAGCTGAGCAACAATTTCAAATCATGGGTCAAACTCCAGGTACAAGTAATTCATAAAGGAGTACTGAGGATTACAGCTTGGTGTCTGCAAACAGTCCTAATGCCCTTCTAACATACTGCTAACATGCTAATGCCGTGCTAAGCTGTTGTTAAACTGCTGCTAATGCGATGCTAACATACTGCTAACCAGCTGCTAACGTGCTGCTAATGCCATGCTAACATACTGTTAACGTGCTGCTAATGCCCTGCTAATGTGCTGCTAATGCCATGCTAGCATGCTAGCATGGCATTAGCAGCATGCATGCTGCTAATGCCCTTCTAACATACTGCTAACATGCTAATGCCGTGCTAAGCTGTTGTTAAACTGCTGCTAATGCAATGCTAAGCTGTTGCTAAACTGCTGCTAATGCGATGCTAACATACTGCTAACCAGCTGCTAACGTGCTGCTAATGCCATGCTAACATACTGTTAACGTGCTGCTAATGCCCTGCTAATGCCCTGCTAATGTGCTGCTAATGCCATGCTAGCATGCTGCTAATGCCCTGCTAACGTACTGCTAACATGCTGCTGGTGTGCTGCTAACATAAATGAAGCAATAATTAACCATCGCTGAGACTTTCCTTATGAAGTTGCAGGCAGGGCGATGGGTGAATCAGTGACTGTAAAATGGAAGAAGCAGGAAACTTTAAGGCTGCGTTTCTGTTTCCTCTATGCAGCTGTTTCATCTCCGTCCTCCTTCACCCTGAAGACAAACACCATCAGCACCTCCGTAGCAAACTCCTACTACCCAGGTAAAAACACTGAGATGCCTCCTGTTGACATAAGAACTGCTGTCAATGTTTTCATTTGTAAAAGGAGGCAGACTGTCTCAGACTGTCTCAGATGTGCAGCAGGGACCAGTGTCCACCAGATGCATGAAGATTGATGCTGAACAAGCAAACAGTCACTGCAGGCACTTACTGCACACCAGCAACAGTTCTTTGATGAGTCTCAGAGACACGTCTTCCACTGTCGGCTGTTTTTACACTGCTTCATCTGCATGAGCCTCCACCTAGGGCTGCTCAATTAATCGAATTGTAATCACGATTACGATCTGGGCTTTCAACGATCATTAAAAATGACTGAGCCGATTATTAGCCCCTCCCTCGTGCTTTACTCTCGCGCTGCTCCGTGTGGCAAATCAAGCGCACCTCTTTGCATTTTGAACACACATCAAAACAATTAAGAGGACCCAAGGGAAGCTCGGAAAGCTAAGCAGAAGTTATTTGGAGAGGAGAGTGACTGCCGTTGGTTGAAAAGAGAGGTAAAAAAAAAACTTCAGTGGTGTGGAAACATGGATTCGCGGAGTCAGATGTGGATCAACTAGACATAGTGTGTAAACTTTGCTACGGTGTCATAGCTGCACCACAGAGCAACACTGCAAAGTTCACTAAACATAGATGTTTACATTTTTCATTTATTTTTTATATTGCAAACATTTGCACTGTTATCAGTATTTGCACACTATTTTATATTATTTTTTAAAGTCATTATTCAATACATTGTTATTGTTAACGCTTTAAATCCCTGTAGAACCGGAACCATGTAAGCTAGCGCAATAATTTGTTTTGCATATGAAACCAGAGGAGTTGTACTTACATCTTATGTCATCAGCTTGTCCTCGGTCACGGTTTCCTTCCACATATAGCTTTGCAAAAACTGCATAAAAAGCACTTGCAGGAACAAAAACATAATATTCCAGAAACACGCTTTACCAATCCGATCAGCTGTTCGTAACACTTCCCACATTGAAAAAGAGTCAACTCGAACTATAGCATGTCCGCCAGTTCCTGTCCGAAACCGGAAGTGACGTCATTTTCGTGGAAAATGTAGTTTTTTACTTGTAGGCTTCAAAAGCCTATACTGGTGTTTTTATAAGTCATGTTTGACTCTATACTTTTCTGAATAGTTTCTGGGATGCTTAGAACTCGAATTGCACTGCTGGAAATGGTTTATTTTGATGCACACGCTGTTTTCTTTGCAAATTTGCATCATAGGATTGTTTTTTTGTTTTTCCTGCAGTATATAAAAATTGCTGTATCTCCAAAATAAAACTATGAAGACACTCAAAATAAATTCCCTGTTGTTGTAAACTATTTTTTGCAACTTTTTTGTATTTGAAGTTTTGAGGGATAAACCTCTTAAATTTCTCCAAGTAGAAACTAAAAAAAAAAAACCAAAAACGATTTTCAATTTTTTTGTAGTTTATTGCACTTTTTTGCAATGAATGTAGTTACTATGGACTTAATGCATACATATTATTAAAATATGGGCTATAACAGTTGTATTGATGTATCGCAACTTGAAATGCTCCCACAAATGACACTACAACATGTAAAAAAAATTATATAAGCTCTGGCGGACTTGGTTCTATGGTAGGTCTTAAAGGGTTAAATAAATATCGTCAAATAATCGAGATCTCAATTTCAGTGAAAATAATTGTGATTATCATTTTTGCCATAATCGAGCAGCCCTACCTCAACCTGCTGGTTCCTCTTCTTACACCTGTACACAAAAATGCCACACAGATTCTCAGAGGCATTTGGACGACGATCAGTCCCTGTGTGCTAATATTAGCATTCCCCAGACATCCAGCCAACAACACTAACATTTAGATTGACAATAATTCATTACAATAGTGGGGATTCATTACAGTAGTGTCTTTCTCAGCTCAATGTAACTAAATTAAATGATGCAGTTCCTCCACTCTTACCTTCTTCAAAGCCTTGTGCCAACACACTGCAGAACAGCTACCTAACGCTACTCCTACAGATGTGACTCATCTTGTTAATAGTGTTATGGCCTCATTGGGTACAACTCTGGATACTGTAGCTCCTATGAAAAAGAAAACTTCACTCCCTAGTATACCTCAGATAATTCAATTTTATCTGATAAGCACATAACTCATAAGCTAAACATGTTCTGAAAAGTTTATCCGAGGCTGGGTCTCAGGGCCAGCAGCCAAAGAAGATAAGGCCAGACCTCGCTCTCCCCAGCCACCTCCTTATCTGGGGAACACAGAAGCCAGCCAAGAGACGCAATCTCTCCAGAGTAGCCTGGGTCTGCCCCGGGGCCTTTTCTCGGTAGCAAAAATCCAGAACACCAGGAGGCGCCGAGGAGGCATCCTAGTCAGATGCCCGAACCACCTTAACTGGCTCCTTTAAATCTAGAGTAGTGGCTCTACTCTGAGCTCCTCCTGGATGGCTGAGCCCATCTCTATCTCTAAGGGAAAGGCCAGCCAACCTCTGGAGAAAGATCATTTCCACTTGCATTAGCGACCTCATTCTTTCAGTCACTACCCAAAGCTTGTTACCATTGGTAAGGGTTGGAACGTAGATCCACCAGAAACACTCGGCTTTTAAGCTTAGCTCTCTCTTTACCATGATGGACTGGTACAGCTCAGTCCTCCCGCTCCCCTCACTCGTGAACAAGAACCTGAGATACTTAAACTCCTCCTCCCTGACCCGGAGCAGGCACTCCACCCTTTTCCAGCTGAGGACCATGGCCTCGGACTTGGAGGTGCTGATTTTCAGTGTGAGCTGGAGGCCACCACCTGATGAAGACAACAGAGCCCCCATCATCTGCAAAAAGCAGTGACGAGATTCTGACTCCACCCGAGTAGAAGTAGTTTGGCTACACCCGGATATTTTGTCAAAAAAAATCGATGACCGAGCTGACAATGTGGACCAAGCTCTTTCTTGTATAAGGACCAAATAGCTCAGTGCAGTGGGCCAGACACCCCATATTCCGAAGTGCCTCACAAAGCATACTCAGAGGACTTCTCCAAGTCCACAAAATGCATGTAGACTGTGGGCACACACCCTTAAATACCCTTGATAGGCTAAAGAGTAAACCACATATTTATTCTTTCCCCGGGAGGCTGAAGAGTGTCATTCCCCTGCAGATATTAAGGGTGTGTAACTATTGCACAGTACACACTACAGCAGTTAGGAGTTGTACAAAGATATCCACAGGAAGGAATCATTTCCTGTGTCGTTCAGTGGTGCATTATGGGTAATCTCAGTCTCTCACTGAACATGTGACCCTCAACCTGCTGCCCCAGCATGCAACACTGTAGAGGACAACACTGACCACAGCACCCTCACAGAAAATCCTGAGCATTGTCCGGTAGATGTTGCAGACCTCAACTGCCTCTGAAAACAGAGTCTGGCCCTTCCTTTAGCGTGCACTGGTGTTTTTAACCCAGTCCAGTTAGTGTGTACTCTGAGGTATTTGCAGGTCTATCCACCGTCGTCCCTTCCCACCTTATCCAACTCACCACCAAGTTGTAAGTTGCTGCCATTTTCCTTGTGAGTATTCATTACAGGGCGTGTGTAACCCGTTCATGTGTTACGCCCGTCATTGCGTTGTGTTCTGGCGTGAAAGTAAGAGGCAGGAGGCAGTACTGGGTCTTTGGCTCTTTACTGCACATCTGCAACACAGAAATATGTGTCTGTTCTGTGTGTATCACGCGCCTGCCAGTGCACCTCTCCTCCGGCCATGCTGAAAGGACCTGTGGTCTGCAGCTTCATTAACACTACAATAATATAATAAATCAAATACAACAAATTGTTTTAAAACATTAACTTAAGCTCTCAAAAACAAAAAGCACAAAATAAATAATATGCCACTGAAAAATCATCAAAAACAACTTATAAGAACAATAAACAAAATAATTCAAAAACAAATAAACAGTCAGGTAAATACAATTCAATCACCAGGGCCTGATATTCAGGTGCTTATAGTTCAAACATTATACTTCAGTACAATTATATTAATAACCGCCATCTAACAGGCAATACAACACTGTACTTATAAAAACAATGAATGAAAGACTGCTTCTCCAAAACATAAGAACATCTCCGTACCTGCAACACAGAAATACAGTGGGGCAAAAAAGTATTTAGTCAGCCACCGATTGTGCAAGTTCCCCCACTTAAAATGATGACAGAGGTCAGTAATTTGCACCAGAGGTACACTTCAACTGTGAGAGACAGAATGTGAAAAAAATCCATGAATTCACATGGTAGGATTTGTAAAGAATTTATTCGTAAATCAGGGTGGAAAATAAGTATTTGGTCACCTCAAACAAGGAAAATCTCTGGCTCTCACAGACCTGTAACGTCTTCTGTAAGAAGCTTTTCTGTCCCCCACTCGTTACCTGTATGAATGGCACCTGTTTGAACTCATCATCTGTATAAAAGACACCTGTCCACAGCCTCAAACAGTCAGACTCCAAACTCCGCCATGGCCAAGACCAAAGAGCTTTCGAAGGACACCAGGAAAAGTATTGTAGACCTGCACCAGACTGGGAAGAGTGAATCTACAATAGGCAAGCAGCTTGGTGTGAAAAAATCAACTGTGGGAGCAATCATCAGAAAATGGAAGACATACAAGACCACTGATAATCTCCCTCGATCTGGGGCTCCACGCAAGATCTCATCCCGTGGGGTCAAAATGATCATGAGAACGGTGAGCAAAGATCCCAGAACCACACGGGGGGACCTGGTGAATGACCTGCAGAGAGCTGGGACCAAAGTAACAAAGGTCACCATCAGTAACACACTACAACGGCAGGGAATCAAATCCCGCAGTGCCAGACGTGTTCCGCTGCTGAAGCCAGTGCATGTCCAGGCCCGTCTGAAGTTTGCCAGAGAGCACATGGATGATACAGCAGAGGATTGGGAGAATGTCATGTGGTCAGATGAAACCAAAGTAGAACTTTTTGGTATAAACTCAACTCGTCGTGTTTGGAGGAAGAAGAATACTGAGTTGCATCCCAAGAACACCATACCTACTGTGAAGCATGGGGGTGGAAACATCATGCTATGGGGCTGTTTTTCTGCCAAGGGGACAGGACGACTGATCCGTGTTAAGGACAGAATGAATGGGGCCATGTATCGTGAGATTTTGAGCCAAAACCTCCTTCCATCAGTGAGAACTTTGAAGATGAAACGAGGCTGGGTCTTCCAACATGACAATGATCCAAAACACACCGCCCGGGCAACAAAGGAGTGGCTCCGTAAGAAGCATTTGAAAGTCCTGGAGTGGCCTAGCCAGTCTCCAGACCTCAACCCCATAGAAAATCTGTGGCGGGAGTTGAAAGTCCGTGTTGCTCGGCGACAGCCCCAAAACATCACTGCTCTCGAGAAGATCTGCATGGAGGAATGGGCCAAAATACCAGCTACTGTGTGTGCAAACCTGGTAAAGACCTATAGTAAACGTTTGACCTCTGTTATTGCCAACAAAGGTTATGTTACAAAGTATTGAGTTGTATTTTTGTTATTGACCAAATACTTATTTTCCACCCTGATTTACGAATAAATTCTTTACAAATCCTACCATGTGGATTCATGGATTTTTTTTTCACATTCTGTCTCTCACAGTTGAAGTGTACCTCTGGTGCAAATTACTGACCTCTGTCATCATTTTAGGTGGGGGAACTTGCACAATCGGTGGCTGACTAAATACTTTTTTGCCCCACTGTAAGTGTCTGTTCTGTGTGTGTCACGCGACTGCCAGTACACCTCTCCTGACGAAGGAAAAAAAGAGTGCATGCTGTTAAAAAAAAGACTGCCGCGAGTACGCTCTCAAGCCGCTAGCGATCAGGCTAACTTAGCATGCTAGCATTTCAGCTGCGTTCTCGGCTAAAACTCATTATAAGCGTATATTACTAAACTCCGCCCTCCACAAAACTTATCCCGAATGAGTCTCTTAATGACAAACAAAAACGCGGCGGTTCGGCTGTATTCACATTGCAGCTTGGGATCTGAACAAACTTTAATTAGCTGAGAGCAACGTGGCAGTGACTTACCTCCGGCCATGCTGAAAGGAGCTGTGACCGGGACACACATGCACGCGCCTACGTCACCACGCACCGTGCACACACACGAACGCACACAGACTCAGATCACACAGGTAGGAGATTGAGATGCAAAAATGACATATTTAATCCAAAAAAAAAATGTGTTTTGGGTGAAATTCACAAGTATTTAACACATATGTTACACGTGCTGCGGGGAAAAGCCTGTTCTGACGTTTGAGTCTAAGGTTTATTTGGAGCACCGTGAACTCTCTCCACACTCTGTCATGTCATTCTTGAAAGAGAGGTTTGCCGTGTTCGAGTCTGTAGTGGGGCCTCGTTAGTGCCATCATTTGCATAGTACAGTTTTCTGGTCCATGTCAGTCAGACTGTTCATAACCAAACCATGTCCATGCAACAGAGGTGACCACTCCTTTAAGGTCCTCCATTTGTTTGGACTGCTCCTTCTGTTTGAGCAAACTGGTTCTGCCTCGTCTTCACTGACCATGCTGGGATTTTCTCTGCCTGCATCCACCAAAGTGGATTTTGCGACACCACGAAACAAACGATTATATACGATTATGATATAAAACGATTTTAATTTCATCATCTGATATATTTCGTCATATCGCAAAGCCCTACATCTCAGCCTCTCTCTTCGCTCGAGTGTCCAGGACATGTGGTCGTAGATCTGATGATATGATTACACAATCGATCATCAGCCTGCGTTGAGGTGAGCTGGACTATATCTAGCTGGTGCATCTCAATCTCGTTCACTAGCTCAGGTCCTTTCCCACCAGAGAGGTGATGTTCCACGTCCCAGATGCCATCCTCAGGAGCATTGATTGGTCTGGCTAGGCCGCTTGGCCAGCACCAAGTACATACTGCACCCAACCCCTACAACCCCTCCTATGCGTGGTGGGCCTAAAGGGGGATGGGCCCATGTCCCCCCTCGGGGCTGCGCCCAGCGAGGGCCCATGAGCTAAGGGCTGGCCACCAGGCACTGTGTCTTGGGCAGACTCTCCAGGTCTGCCTCCAGGCGGGGCCCTGGTAACACGCAAGAGTCTTCTGAATGGCTCTTTGTCTGTGCCATGGTAGACTCTACCAGTGGGCAAAAGCCCCCCAGCAACATAGCCCACAGGATCCCTGGGACACACAAACCCCCTCCACCATGATAAGGTAGAAATTTACATATTTCTTAAATCTAGCTTCAATCTAGCATTTCCACTTTAAATTAGATCAATCTATCTTTATTAATTCCATTCAGGATATGTCCTTCAATGTGCATACCAAACAACATCTCTAAAATTAGAAATATCCTGTCTCAGAGTGATGCTGAAAAACTAGTTCATGCATTTATTACTTCCAGGCTGGACGACTGTAATTCATTATTATCAGGAAGTCCAAAAAACTCCCTGAAAAACCTTCAGCTGATCCAAAATGCTGCAGCAAGAGTCCTGACAGGGACTAGAAAGAGAGAGCAGATTTCTCCTGTTTTGGCTTCCTGTTAAATCCAGAATTCAAAATCCTGCTCCTCACATACAAGGTCTTAAATAATCAGGCCCCATCTTATCTTAATGACCTTGTAGTACCATATCAGCCTATTAGAGCACTTCGCTCTCGCTCTGCAGGCCTACTTGTTGTTCCTAGAGTATTTAAAAGTAGAATGGGAGGCAGAGCCTTCAGTTTTCAGGCCCCTCTTCTGTGGAACCAGCTTCCAGTTTGGATTCAGGAGACAGACACTATCTCTACTTTTAAGATTAGGCTTCAAACTTAGGCTTCGAACCTTGTGGCTCATTCACCTGAAGCCCAGTACTCACCAGACATTCAGCTGCCATTTAAATAGTTAACATTCATCCAGCAGTCAGCCAACATCCAGCTGATGCATTTCAACCATTTAGTCAACATTAACTATGCTCTCAACCAACATTCATCTACCACGAGCCTAATATTCACCTGACAGCTGGTGTTCGCACATCAGTTAGCCAAAATTGAGCCGATGTTTTGCCTGCAGACATGTAGCGAGCTGACTGGTCTTCTTCTTCTTTTCTCTTCTTCTTTTGTCCTGTCTGTCCATCTGTCTGTATGCTGCTGTGTCCTGATGGCAGATCCCTTCGTACCGACAGCCATTCTGGGTGAGACACCTTTCCTCTGTTTCCTCTGTTTCCTCGATAGGCCAGATGTGCACAGGTAGACAGACAGGAAAGGGGCAGTCAGATGGTAGGAAGTGGACAGAGCTGAGGCCTAGAATAGAGAGACAGGTGAGAGGAGACGAGAGACAGAAGGACAGATATTCTGACTTCCATCCATCCCTGCTTGCTTCTCGTTCGGCTGCTTTTGGTTCTTTCCTCCTTTTGGAATCTTGTTTTTGTTATCTTGTTCCTTCATCTTTTACAAGTACAATTTTGTTTCAGATCATAACGTTCTCATTTATACTCTTCTTTCTGTCAATTTGTATGTTTTTTAGTTTAATTGATTAAAATAGAATTTTTATTTGCCTTTATATTAAATTAACATTTATTTTATTATTATTTTCCTTTCATAATGGATTAAATTTGTGCATTTATCTGTTTTGGTTTTGTTGTTTTTGAAACTTGATGGTGGGCTTCACTCCATCCCCGCATCCACAACATTCCTGCGTGTTGTGTTGACGTCACGTCTGTCTGTGACTTCCAACCTCTGCATGGGCACAACACGCCACGTGGACTGGGGGGAGGAAAACCAAAAGTTTATATTAATAAACTGATTATTTATTAATATATTATTATATGTGATGTGAACATTTACCCAGAGTCTGGCTGCAGCTGAGAAGAATCCTAATCCTTGGCTTCATTTTTATCAGTTATTTAAAATATCAGAGGCGTGGCAAGTGACAGATTTATTCAGTCTCAGTTATCTCATTGATAATCACTCATGCTATCAAGAATAACTAAACACAAATGCAATTACCACACCTCATGAGCACACGTTTTCTGTGGACGATCCATATCTTTGAGGACTTTCGCTTCTTCAGCTCTTCGGTGTTTTTAGTCTGAAAATATTGATACACATGTTGTAGGCACGTCATTATTTCAGATCACAGAAATGAAAGCAGCCGAGCTCGGCTCACAGACCTTGTATACTTTATTCTTCCTCAGATTTAACCTGAGATTTGCTTGGCTCTTGGGAAACAAACGGTGGCTGTGTTACTGTAAACACTTTCCCAGGTGTATCTGGTAGTTAAAGAACACATGGAACACATATTCTCCAGCTCTGTTTGGGATATGTTGTGGGAACCTGTCAGAGAGTCTTTCTGTCCTTGAGCAGTGATTAGGGCTGTGGTCAAATTAAATCGATAGTATCTCTAAAGGATTTTGACTAGAAACAGGTGACGTTCTACCCAAACGCAGTGTTAGGGACAGGAACATCTACATGGGGAACAGTGGACCCAGCTCCAAGTTTCAGTGAAACTTCTGCACTTGATTCAGCTAAGCGTCCACAGAATAGAAGGCTATTAGTAAGCACTGTTTCATAAATTCCCCTTTTCTCCTCTCTCCTCAGGCTAGCTAATCGGTCTTCAGGCAAGGGATGCTGACATTAGCCAAGGCTACCAGTCCTGCACTCAGGGTACAGTTAGCAAGGGTAGCTAGGTTACCCTAAATGCTAGCTGCTACCAATGCAAATAGAACTACTTCTAGCTGTTTGTTTGATTCATGCTGACTGTTTGTTAGCAGAAGGTTAGCTTAAGAACAGGCTAAAGCTAAATTTGTTGCCTAAACTCTGTCTCCTCTGTCTTCTTCTTCTTCTTTTCCATCTTTCTCTTTGTAAAGTGCCCATTAATGGTAAGTGGTTAAATTTGGGGCTAAAGGGTGGGCTCATGTTGGGGAGGGGTGTCTGTCACCACTGAGCATGGAGCCACACCCACCACCGCTGTGACATCATCAGTTAGCGTGGCAATGATGCATTTTTTACCGTCTGTGAGATTGTGACGCTACAACCCCCAGCTCCTCCCACCATGTAACCTTGAATCAATCAGCTTCTAGCTCTGCATCTCTTTATCTGATTGGTTCCCTTTTTTGTCATAGTGGTTGTTTTGTCCATTCAGTCACAACTCGCCACCTCCATTACATCACCCATCTTCTCGGCCTCACCATACCTGATTGGGCTTTAAATGACAGAGAGTTCCTGATTGGTCAGTCAGCCCCCAGACTAGCCAATAAAAACAGAGTTAGAGAGTATAGTGGAAGGTATGTCAGCCAAGTCTTTGCTGAAATGTTCACATCAGAGTCCTGGACGTTTCTGATTAGAAACCAGTTTACCAAAAAGGTTTGTTCATTTCCAGGACTCTGAACTTTCCTCTTTTCACACCGCAGCTCCAAGAACCTGGACCACCTCTAGACCAGTACTCAGACCATGCTGTACTGGATCTGAACCAGTACTCAGACCATGATGTACTGGATCCAGAACAGTACTTGATATTACAATTAACTGCAATGAACTATTGAAGAACTTGACATGGCAGCAGTGTGAAAAGAAACCAGCAACAATCACCATCCTCTCTCTAGTCATGTGATCTGATGTCATGTGATCTGTGTGTGTCATTCATTAGTGTTGCTGTTGGCTCCTTGGACAGATCAGTGGCATACTGAAGGAAAGTACAGACTCTGGACAGACTTTGTATGACTTCACTCTTTCAGGCCGTCCGTCAAATTCAGGCTCGATGAAATTGGAGCACCAAGTTCACTCTTTTACTGTTTAACCCGGGCATTAGATTGGTGGCTGCCCACTGCTTCAATGAGTGAATGGGTTAAATGCAGAGAGGACTTTCCACACAGGGATCAATAAAGTATACGTTATTATTATTATTATTATTAACCAACACCTGAGCAGTTTTGTAAGCTGAGGTTGTTTGTGTTACATCATGGCTTCACCCTGTAGTCTTCTAACAGTCCTGGTGGCTGGTTAAGATGTTTCTGCTGTGTTTAGTACATGAGGCTGAAAGAACAACAAGGAAAACATCTTCACCGTTTCTAACATTCAGGGAAAAAATGGACCAACACGAAAAGTGTAAACAGTCCTTCTGTTCAATGTTGCTTCTATTTAATCCAGTAAAGAAAAACTAAAACCAGTAAGTAACCAACTCATACCAATACATGATCTAACAGAACCAGTCTTTCCACTGATAATACACAGAGTCCAGGTTTCAGTGGCTGGATGTGTTCTGTAAGTCCGAGTTTTCACTGAGACTTGTTAGAGCAGCAGCTGAAGGTTAGAAGGTTTGACCAAACAAATTAAAGCGGTCTGTGCTTCATGAGGTCAGGACGCTGCGATTGATTGGCTGTAAACACAGAATCCCATTGGTTTGCCTGCTGACGATAAAGTTACTGATGAAAAACACAGAGACAGCGTGACTGTGAAAGGAAGTCTGCAGTTTCTGCTTCACTACAAGTTTTAAAAATCTATCAGCATTTTAGGATTACCTACCTCATATGCTAAGAAAGTTCTGAACTTGGATCAGTGGAAGCCAGGCTGCTACTCTCAACTGTCAGATCAACAGTTCACATTTTTGCTGCAGATACTGTGATGTCCATTTCCCTGTGGTACAGAAGAGTCACTCTTATCTTCGCCTCATATCTTCTCCTGTTCAGCTCGATGTCAGCTTGTGAGCAGGAACTTTAATCCTTCTGGTTCATTTAAACTTTATATGCCACTCTGTAGCATTGATGGATTTAATGAGCAGATTCAATAGCAGATCTGTAAATGTGATCGCTGACCTTTGAAGGAATTTAGAAGATTTTTTAAAGGTATTTAAGTGAACATACAAAGTCTGTCCAAAATTAAGCTAAGCTTTAATCAGAACAATTCAAATGTAACCGATACAGAACTGAAAGTGAAATTTATCAAGTTCCATAATAAGAAACATTAGAACTGGAGCTAATGTCCTGGTTCTGCCTGGGTCGGTCTGGTCCATCCCAGCTTCATATTTTTAAATGTGTCTGTGCAGCCTAAATCTGATCTGTCCACCCTCTCCCGCCTCTCCTTCTATCCTCCCTCCAGATGACAGCCACACTATGACCAGTGAAACCAGTAGCCTGGTCCAGTCCCACTACAAGCAGCGGGACTCTGAAAGGGAGGCGCTGCCGTATCAGACAGGACAGCTGCACCCGGCCATCCGAGTGGCCGACCTGCTGCAGCACATCACCCAGATGAAATGTGCTGAGGGCTATGGTTTCAAGGAGGAATATGAGGTGAGGACAACACTCTGAGTTTCCTCTTCAGTTTGACAGTAAAAACACTTTTATCCAATCCACAGCTGTGGGGGAGGGGTCAGACAGAGGCAGGTGTGAATGCTGACAAAAGTCGACATAAAAAAAAGTGTTTGTTTACAAAGTGAAGCCCACAGTCCTGCACGCCTCCATCAGGACCCACACCTAGACCCCACACCTTCAGTTACACCCACACCATCAATAAGGCCAACGCCATCAGAAAGATCAGGACCTGAGCTAGTGAATCTGAGCTAGGGCTGAGCTTGTTTTTTCAGCACAAAGAAACGGAGAAACACCACGACTCTCCGTCAGCCTCCACCTTCATTCGGTGGCAGTGTGTCTCAATGTCTGCTTCCATCATGGTTTCACTGAGCTGTGAAGTGTTTTTTCAATTCTAGTGGAAACGTTCATCATGTTGGTTTGTCAGAATTTGTAGCTTCAAAGAAAAGTTCCAAACACTTCCACTAAAGATCCACAGCACCAGTAAGACTCACACCATCAATTAGACCCACACCCCCAGTGAGACCATCAGTAAGACCCACAACGCAAGTGAGACCCACACCACCAGTGAGACCATTAGTTAGACCCACACCACCAGTGAGACCACCATTAACACCCACACCATCAGTTAGACCCACACCATCAGTTAGACCCACACCACCAGTAAGACCACCATTAAGACCCACAACGCAAGTGAGACCCACACCACCAGTGAGACCATCAGTTAGACCCACACCACCAGTGAGACCACCATTAAGACCCACACCATCAATTAGACCCACACCATCAGTTAGACCCACATCACCAGTAAGACCAACATTAAGACCCACACCACCAGTAAGACCAAAACCATCAATTAGACCCACACCACCAGTAAGACCAACACCATCAATTAGACCCACATCACCAGTAAGACCACCATTAAGACCCACACCATCAATTAGACCCACACCATCAGTTAGACCCACACCATCAGTTAGACCCACACCACCAGTAAGACCACCATTAAGACCCACACCATCAGTTAGACCCACGCCACCAGTAAGACCACGATTAAGACCCACACCATCAGTAAGACCCACACCACCAGTAAGACCCACACCATCAATTAGACCCACACCACCAGTGAAGCCATCAGTAAGACCCACACCACCAGTAAGACCACCATTAAGACCCACACCACCAGTAAGACCACCATTAAGACTCACACCATCAATTAGACCCACACCACCAGTGAGACCATCAGTAAGACCCACACCACCAGTAAGACCCACACCACCAGTGAGACCACCAGTAAGACCCACACCATCATTTAGACCCACACCACCAGCTGGGTTCTATCATCCTGAGCTAACCCACAGTCACTTTGAGCAGTGACACTATATTTGGCTCCAGATTTTCTGCAGGCATCTCTGTGACAGTTGTTCTGTCTTTTGTCACATTAGATTCTAAAACATAATTTCACTGTTGTTCATTATTGCTTTATTAGCCTTTAGAACCGACCAATCAGAAGAGTGTGGTTAAACATGAAGGAGCAGAGTCAGTTCCATAAAATGCTACTAACTAAAGAATCTCTCTAAACAATTAATCATTTATATCAAAAGTCTATTAATCTGTGAGCAGGCGGGTTAGTGAGTAATGAGGAGCATGAGGGCTGCGAGAGCAGGAGGAGGAGGAGCAATAACCAGGAGACGAAGACAGTAAATAAAATAAATAAATAATGTTCACTAGCAGCACCAGTTTGGGACTTTCTGTTGTGAGCTGTGTGTGTGTGTGTGTGTGTGTGTGTGTGTGTGTGTGTGTGTGTGTGTGTGTGTGTGTGCGCGTGCGCACTACACATGTTTACCCATTTTCATCATGAGAAAAACTTACTAATGGATGTTACTTACCTGAACCCCCCCACACACAAACAACCACACACACACAGACACACACACACACAAACATTATAGATCTTCCCTCCAGGTAATGGGCCAAAACAGGGAATGGCTTGTGTGTTGTGTGTGTGTGTGTGTGTGTGTGTGTGTGTGTGTGTGTGTGTGTGTGTGTGTGTGTGTGTGTGTTTGTATGATAGTTCTGGTTGCCTGCTAGCGGGCTGCCCTCAGGGCTAATCCATTATACATCCTGAGTACACACACACACACACAGACACACACACACACAGGGAATGTTTTCACCCTCCATTTGCAGAAAGTTAGCAGTGAGGAGTTCTTCCAGTGTTTCTGTCTCACTCTCCGTCCATCCGTCTGTTCAGTGATGGCAGCCTCTCAAAAACATGAATCAGCCCAGTTTTTTTCCACAAGTGAGTCCAGTCTGGGTCCAACCTGTGTCCAGTCTGGGTCCAGTTTGAGTCCAGTCTGGGTCCAGCCTGTGTCCAGTTTGTGTCCAGTTTGAGTCCAGTCTGGTTCCAGCCTGTGTCCAGTCTGGCAGTATGAGTCCAGTTGAGTCCAGTCTGGTTCCAGCCTGAGTCCAGTTTGGGTCCAGTCTGGTTCCAGCCTGAGTCCAGTCTGGGGCCAGCCTGTGTCCAGTTGAGTCCAGTTTGAGTCCAGTCTGGGTCCACTGTGTCCAGTTGTGTCCAGTTTGAGTCCAGTCTGGTCCAGCCTGTGTCCAGTCTGGTGTCCAGTTTGAGTCCAGCTTGAGTCCAGTCTGGGTCCAGCCTGTGTCCAGTTGGGTCCAGTCTGGTTCCAGCCTGAGTCCAGTCTGGGGCCAGCCTGTGTCCAGTTTGAGTCCAGCTTGAGTCCAGTCTGGTTCCAGCCTGAGTCCAGTCTGGGTCCAGCCTGTGTCCAGTTTGAGTCCAGCTTGAGTCCAGTCTGGTCCAGCTTGAGTCCAGTCTGGGTCCAGCCTGTGTCCAGTTTGAGTCCAGTTTGAGTCCAGTCTGGTTCCAGTCTGGTTCCAGTCTGGTCCAGCTGTGTCCAGTCTGGTCCAGCTGAGTCCAGTTTGGTCCAGCTTGAGTCCAGTTAGTCCAGCTTGAGTCCAGTCTGGTTCCAGCTTGAGTCCAGTTTGAGTCCAGTCTGGTTCCAGCCTGAGTCCAGTTTGGGTCCAGTCTGGTTCCAGCCTGAGTCCAGTTTGGTCCAGTCTGGTCCAGCCTGAGTCCAGTCTGGGTCCAGTTGTGTCCAGTTTGTCCAGTTGTGTCCAGTTTGAGTCCAGTCTGGTTCCAGCCTGTGTCCAGCTGGGTCCAGTCTGGTTCCAGCCTGAGTCCAGTCTGGGTCCAGCCTGTGTCCAGTTTGAGTCCAGCTTGAGTCCAGTCTGGTTCCAGCTTGAGTCCAGTCTGGTTCCAGCTTGTCCAGTTTGTGTCCAGTTTGAGTCCAGTCTGGTCCAGCCTGTGTCCAGTTTGAGTCCAGTCTGTGTCCAGTCTGGTCCAGCCTGTGTCCAGTTTGAGTCCAGCTTGAGTCCAGTCTGGTTCCAGCCTGTGTCCAGTTTGAGTCCAGCTTGAGTCCAGTCTGGGTCCAGCCTGTGTCCAGTTTGAGTCCAGTTAGTTCCAGCTTGAGTTCCAGTCTGGTCCAGCTTGAGTCCAGTCTGGGTCCAGCCTGTGTCCAGTTTGAGTCCAGTCTGTCCAGCTTGATTCCAGTTGGGTCCAGCTTGTGTCCAGTCTGGTCCAGCTTGAGTCCAGTCTGGGTCCAGCCTGAGTCCAGTCTATTTCCAGCTTGAGTCCAGTCTGGTTCCAGCTTGATTCCAGTCTGGGTTTCAGAGCAGATTTTGTGGTTTAACCTAGGTTTGATTGTAGTATTGATGCAGTAATCAGTTCATGTGAGCTCATGACTGAATCCCAGCTGTCCAGCTGAGCGCCCCACTCATGACTGTTATCTCCCTCCATGCTTCTCCTTTACTAATTAATGTGATCGGACAGCTTAACGAGGTAAGACGTCTTCTTGGTTTTCAGATTCTTACTGTCCTGTGTTCTTGTCGACTAGATTAGAGACAATATGGCAGTAACGCACACACATTAGCACAGTAGCTGAGTGTGAGCTCAGACTCACCCCTGTCAGTCTCTGTGGTAACCATCCTTGTAAACCACGAGTGGAAACCTCCTGCTATGCTTCTCTGATCGTCTGCTTTAGTACAAAAAGATGTAGTTTCACACAGTTTTTTATCTTTACTGGCTTCATTTATATCCTCAGAGATTAAACGATTAAACAAGAGAAATTCAATGTCAAGCTAAAGAGATGTAGGTTTTAGCTAAAGCTTATATAACACAGACCCTGATCCAAAACAGAGAGATCATTGCATAAGAAAAATTAATCAAATTCTTTAAGCTCTGATTGAAACACAGGAAGTTTAACCCCCTGACAAAGACCCTTCACACTGGTCCTAACCTAAACTCCAACTTCCTTTACATTTGGATTTATTATCCATATTTGAACAAATTCTGAACGTCAAGTGGGAATTGACCATTATAAGCTTTGTATGTCATTTGAATTAGGTTATAATCTACTAAATGTTTGAGTTTCAGCATATTTAGTTGAATCAGGAATGGATTTGTGACTCAGGTCTGTTTGTTACCATTCATATGACTTTTTCTTTTTTTGTAATAAAACCATTGAGTTGATGTTTGTCGGGTGTTTCCCACCTCTGCATAAAACAATAAGTGAATAATGTTAAAGGCATGGAGATTGTTGCCAAAGTCTTTGACTTTGTACAAAATAAATAGATTTAGACTTTTCAGCTTTGACAAAATGCAAACTGTACATAAATTATCTAAATAACTCCCAAGAATTTAGTTTCATGTCAGTTTTGAATCGATTGTCATTTTTCTGTGGTTATTTTAGCAAGCAGTTTCCAAATATTATTCATTTTGTTTTTCCAACATGAACAGAGCAGATCAACCATTTCCTGTTTCCAGAAGCAGCTTGAAAATTCCCACAACAAAAAAGTCATCAGCAAATAAACAACACTTAGAAATGTAAACCATAGATATATCATGTAAACAACATTGATCCAAAAATATTCCTGATATGCATGACTGCGCATTCGTTAACCTGCATGCAGCCTGTTTCAGTTTCTCCTACTTTTTCTTTATTTTTTCTTTTACTTAGTATTAGTGTTATTTTGTTTTAATAGCTTTCTCTCAAACATGTGGGTCGAGCAAGTCTTTGTTCTCCTTGTTGTGGAACTGTTAGTTTCATTGAGGAATGGGATTGCAGCAGCTACACCACACGCTTTGATTACTCCAGAGATCAGCTGATCGCTCTGATGCCTGCCGGCTTGTTGGCCAGACCCATGGACGTACCAACTGTAATGGAGGTGGTCAGAGGAGGCCTTAGCAGAACTACAGGGCTGTTTTGAGATGACCGATGAGGAGACACTCTTTGAGCCTCACTGACTACATAACTTTTTGCACCTACTCCATTATTCCAGCTCAGACTGACCATTGTTACCCAAATAACAAGCCGTGGGTGACTAAGGACATCAGTACACTCCTCAACGACAAGAAGAGGGCTTTCAGAGGGGGCAATAAATTCAAATTCAAATTTTTATTTGTCACACACACAACCATACACAGTATGACATGAGGTGAAATGCTTGTAGCTGTACAATGCAATGTCCGACCATTAAATGACAGTGGTTTTACAGTATTTACAATTTACAGGTTATACAAAATTTACAGATTTACCTTAGAAATTTACAGTAAAAAAAATGTGCAAATAGCAGAAAGAGATTATAAATTATAGGAATAAATAATAAAGAGGAGGTGAGAAGGATCCAGGTGTTGCTGAAGGACAAGATCAGAGAGGCTAAGGACAATTACATGACGAAGCTGGAGAGAAACTTCACCAGTTTCACCAGCTCCGACCCATAGTCAGACCACATCAGGATTCCTTCATTTTGCCTACCGGCCCCGCCTTTGAGCTGAGGACGGCATCATCTACCTGCTCAATCGTGTCTACGCCCATCTGGACTAGCCGGCGAGCGCTGTGAGGGTCATGTTTTTTTTACTTTTCCAGTATTTTCAGCACCATCAGGCCGACCATCCTGGGAGATGACAGCGATGCAGGTGGATGCTTCTCTGGTGTCCTGGATTGTTGAATACCTGACAAGAAGACCACAATATGTGCGTCTTCCACATTGCGTGTCTGACAAGGTGATCAGCAACACAATGGCACCACAAGGGACCGTCCTCTTTCGGACAATGCTCAGGAGTTTCTACGAGTCTATTGTGGCCAGTGCCGTCCTCCATGCTGTTGCATGCTGAGGGAGCAGGTTGAGGGTCGGGGATGCACAGACTGAAGTGGATGTTGTCCAAGATAAGGACAATGCTGCCATTGTCCTTATCTTCCTTATCTGCCACCCACTCCATGATGTGCTGGCCAGTCACAGGAGCTACCTCAGTGAGAGATTAGGATTACCCATAATCAGTGTTGGGACTAACGCGTTATTAAGTAACGTGTTAGAGTAACTATGTTATTATTGTGGTAAAATACACAGAGGGTTAACGAGGGAAGTGGGAGCACATGGGGAACACAGGTGACACTGATAATCATAACGAGACAGGGCGGGGTGAACATAACATGACGTATACAGGCGCGGGAGTCACAAAGTAAAACAGGAAGTACACGGGGGTTCAGACAGGAGGGGAGAGAGAGAGCACAGGAAGAACATAGCCATAACGGGCAGGGGAAACATGGAATAAACACAAAGAGAGACGAGGGCTCATAAATACACAGAGGGGCACACAGGGGGTAAGAGTCACGAAGGGAAAACACTTAGGGAACAACACACCAGGACAACTCAGGAAGCATGGCCTAAATAAGGAACGAAATACAAAAATACAAGAAACTAAGAATACTGGGCCCACATGGCCCAGGACCATGACACAATTTGTGTCTCCTTAGAAGTGATGACCTCTGACCTCAGTGACAGCAGGAGGATAGTGGTGATTAAAGAAGACAGCTAGCATTAGCATCAGTGTCTGAAAAAAGCCCTGTTACACACACAGCTATCAGCAGTCATTGGTTCCTTCCTTTCATTCTTTTCTATTTTTTTTCCTTCTTTTGTTCCACGCTGTCAGTCGTGTGTGTGTCTCTGTGTGTGAGAGAGACATTGTTCACCTCTGTTTGATGGATGTCTGAAGCTGTTAGACTGTTGTCTCACACACATCTGTCTACAGGCATTTTAATGAAGCACTGACGAACCTACAGTGGATAAGAGTGGATGGATCGAATGATTTCACCAAGTGTTGGTGTTCCTCTTGGTAGATAAAACAAATGTAGCATATTTGCAGCTCTGGAGGCCAGGATTACTGAATTGGAGACTCGGCTTCGCACCCTTCATTCACCCGTAGCTAGCCAGGCCCCTGTAGCTGGTGCAGCCGAAGATAGCGTAGGCCCCGCTAGCTGTTCCCCGGCAGACCCCAAGCAGCTGGGGAAAGAGGGCGGCTGGGTCACGGTGAGGAGGAAGCATAGTCCTAAACAGAAGCCCCAGGTACACCACCAACCCGTTCATGTGTCTAACCGTTTTTCCCCACTCGGCGACACACCCGCCGGGGGTCAAACTCTGGTAATTGGTGATTCTGTTCTCAGACATGTGAAGCTAGAGACACCGGCAACCATAGTCAATTGTCTTCCAGGGGCCAGAGCAGGCGACATTGAAGGAAATTTAAAACTGCTGGCTAAGGGTAAACGTAAATTCAGTAAAATCATAATTCACGTCGGCAGTAATGACACCCGGTTACGCCAATCGGAGGTCACTAAAATCAATATTGAATCGGTGTGCAACTTTGCCAAAACAATGTCGGACTCTGTAGTTTTCTCTGGTCCCCTCCCCAATCAGACCAGGAGTGACATGTTTAGCCGCATGTTCTCCTTAAATTGCTGGCTGTCTGAGTGGTGTCCCAGAAACGATGTGGGCTTCATAGATAATTGGCAAACCTTCTGGAGGAAACCTGGTCTTGTTAGGAGAGACGGCATCCATCCCACTTTGGATGGAGCAGCTCTCATTTCTAGAAATATGGACAAATTTATTAAACCCCCCAAAATATGACTATCCAGAGTTGGGACCAGGAAGCAGAGTTGCAGTCTTACACGCCTCTCTGCAGCTTCTCTCCTCCTGCTACCCCCCCAAAAACCCATCTCCATAGAGACTGTGTCAGCTCCCAAACAGACAAAAACAAACTAAAAACCATCAACAAACAACTTAAACATAAACAATTACAAAGAAAGAACAATACAGTATCCACATCTGAACCAAAGAGTAAAACAGTGAAATGTGGATTATTAAATATTAGGTCTCTCTCCTCCAAGTCTCTGTTAGTACATGACTTTAATAATTGATCAAGATCCTGATTTAGGCTGCGTCCACACTGGTATGTTTGAGAACACAGATTTTTCTATGCGTTTTCATCTTTCCTCTACATGTAAACGGTGTTTTCAATCACTGAAAACTGAGATTTTTAAAAACTCAGTTTTTGCGTTTACGTGTGGACGAGGAAAACAGAGATTTAGTCACACAACGTCAAAGGTGTGCGCCTTTTTGACGTTACTGCTTACATGAGATTATGTCTACAATGGCAGATAGAAACAAAATACTGTTGCTGTTAATCTGACTATCTGCAGTTTTAACACACTTACCGTCCCTCCGTTTATACAGACAGGCGTCTGAGTGAACCTCGGACGGGGCTTCTACATCCAACACAGACCCTCTCACAACCCAAATCCCAACATCGGTTTTGAATAAATGTACTTTTTAAAAAAATATAATTTATGTGTGCTGTATGCATTTTGTTCATTCCTGAGTTGTGAGTCTACACCAACCAAAATACTGTCTTTGTTATTAACATTTGAAATGTTGAAGGCACCTGGATAGTAACAAAATGATCTGCCTTTCCAGGAAAACACAAACTTTTCAGAAGTCCTGAAGGTT